GTTTCGCAATCACGTCAATATATATGAAGCTCATTTCAGTATCAATGAACCAGTAGGCTGAGAGAGTAGTTGGCAAACTTATAAAGTCACGCTACCAGGGTTTTGTGTTGTGAACTCATCGCACTGACTGCCAGCGGCTTATCGACCTGTTGACGATTAGCCCTACGTTTTTAAAGAAAGGCTCTGCAATAATCTCATTCGTTTCTCACTATCATATTCAGGGTGGTGTTGCCGCTGGGAATATACTCCTATATTTACCACTTGCTCTGAGACCGTGCCAGACGATGGGGGAATATGGTGAAAAAACCCACCTCGACCAGAAGGTCCGGTATGGCTGTCAGAGTTGCACATCTTAATTGCAGGAACCCTCATGTGTTCGATAAAAGAGGACTTTTCAAGGCCTACGGTGACATCAGAAAAAACTGTTTTTCTGTAGTTACCGGCATTGACAATATCTCATAAGGATAACCGAGAGACTCCAGTGATATTTGCCGTCTATCACCTCCTCGCACACCCTACTACGGTTCTCAGTGACCCGTCATGCTTAACCAGAAGGGTCGTCTGATGAGTTTTTGCCTGTGTCGCTGCCTGCAGACGGCGGGAGCTGTCTCAATTCATAGGACTGCGGTAGGCCGGTTTCCAACTTTCTCTTGTCTTTGGCCAGGGGACAGGGTGGAGGGAGGGGGACAGGTATGACTACTAGTCCCATCAGTTTACCATATTTAGCGAGTGACTTCAAACCCGTCAAGTGTGTACCCACCACCGCCACCGCCGCCGCCGCCGACGCCGCCGTGGCTGTCTCACTATCGCCACATGGTCAGTGCGTTTTATTCTGAAACAGAGAAGGTGGCAGTGATTGCCTATCCCTTTCAGGTTGCTATAGGGTATAAGGGAGCTGAGGGAATAGCTCTGCCTTCCTCTTGAACATTTCACTAGCGTGAAATAAGAGGTAAATACGTATTTTCGGGACGAAAAAGACCGCCAAATGCAGAGTCAACATTATCGAGCTTTTGAAACCTTCCAGGCGTTCGATTTGAAGAAAAGAGACCTTCACGGTGAGAGGCGGAGGAGGGACAAAGAAACTCAGAAGCCCATTCCACCACAGCTTCCATCTTCATTCCATCTTCATTCCGTATGCTTGGGAAATGGGCATCTCGGCTGACTGTGGGAATCGTGGTTCCCCCACTAATGTCTCCCCGAATGCGCTACTAGGCCATGTCCATACGATCTGTCAGACCGCGGGTAGACGGACAAACAAATTAACACGCGGGTTAAACCAAACTTCTGATTAAAATTAAAGTCATGAGTATAAGATTGTTGCAGGACTGATACTTAGTGAAACGGGTAGCCACCTCGTACTTGAATCTGAACAAGTAGTGCCCGTATGATGCAAACAACACACATGAAGTATTTTATACCCGGTATGAATTTAAAGCAGACCAAAACAGTAGAATTTAATGCTACCAGAAAATCACGCCAAGGCTTACTAACTGTTACCTGTCGTTGCATAAAATAGACAACAAATGAGGACTACACATCAAGTTGAATTTGCATGGAAAATTAGTGTGAAAATAACAAGCTCGTAATCGATTAAGGGGCACGTGTCTTCGAACTGTTTTTTGAACAAATTCGGCTTGCGCCGTAGTCCCTATTCGTTATCCATACTACGTAGCAACAGATAGGGTCTGCTAAGCCACCACAGAAAATAAGTAGCACTGTCCGGGTGAAAATGTCTACGTAGTTACGTGTGAGTTAGCGTACGGGCCTTCGTTATGGCAATATCTTTCCCGTCTGAAAAAGGCGAAAACATGAAGATCTGTGTATTTTCTTCCTTTTCTGATGTGTGATTTTTGGACGCTTAATTATATTCGCTCTATTTTCTCAAGGAAAACACCAAAGCTCCTGTCTTTTTGCAAGCAGATCCGTTGAGTGAACACCGACCCGCGATATATTCCCAGTAGCTGACCTATTTTGTGGAATTTCAACCGAAATTCTAAAATGTGTTTTCGGTTGATAAGAATTACTTATGTCGGGTTGCAGTATTAATTATTGTACAGCAGAATCCTAAGATATTTCAGTTGTGACGAGATGACGGCTTTTTAATGTTCTTCTCTGTAGCCGGCCCCAAAAACTACACTTGGTATAAAATGACTACTTAAGTAGCGCAAATTTTTCACGTAGATTTTCGATGTCCCGATAGGTACAAAGATACTTTGTAGAAAATAAAGATTAAAATATTCGTTCTTATACTTGTGTGGTAGCCCACTAAACCCTCTTTAAGTTTCGTTTTTGACGAAAGTGCACCTTTGGGTTCTAAAAATTCGTTTCAATCATCAAATAATTTTAACCCGACCAGCAGCTGCGCTTGCGCTCACGTTTTATAGATTACCTACCGTCAACCTCGATTGTCCTACGCTACTTCATAAGCAGCATTAAAAAACGGACAGATATGACGCTGCAAAGTATACAATACGGTTGAAATCCGCTGAAAAAATATTTTAAACTCCATATGGCAGCTTCTTAATAGCCTGTAGAAATACATGATTTTCCCTACACGGAAAATATACAACTGCTACTATGGAAACCCTAAATGCAAGTCTAACAGCAGGTCGAATTTAAAATTATTCGAGAATTGAAAAATTTATTCAGAAACGAATTATAGCATTTCCTCAAGTATAGAAATTGAAGTAGACGTCACTTTCTATCAGTCGTGTAGACGAAAGGGTATTTTGTGCATGTTTTCTAAGCAATATATTTGAATGGATAAGGGCATCGAAAATTAGTGGAAAGAATTCAGTTAATTAAGGAGTCATCTTTTGCTGAGTGTGGCTTTCGCAGTCGATCGGAAAAAGACTAGTTCAAAATCCGGCATTCTGATATGACTGGAATACCTTTCGATTCTGCTGCATGATAATTAATATTACAACCCTACTTAAGTAGTCTTTTCGAGTCGAAAACACACTTCAGAATTTCAGTTAGCATTTCATGAGGTAGCACGTCCATTGTATGTCACGCAGTGTAGAGGCACTTTTTTACAAGTCTGAGTGCTGTCTCCTTTCAGCCGGGTTGTCTGGGAGGGTAGTGCACGTCGACCATCACAGGGACCAACAAATAGGCGTAGCTTGACCACGGGTGGTCTGTATTTAAGAGTTAATTGCTTGTGTGCCGGAAAGAATTTTTTTCTAACTGTTGATTTTGAGAAAGCAGAGCGGCTCGCTGGCTCTTCAAAGGTGGAGGACAGAAGAGGGGCCTGAGGGATACAGCCTACTCGAGGCTTGTGCCAGTACTCCAGCGGCAATTAGACACTAAGAGCACATGCAGCTGGAACGCCAAGTAAGCAAACATGCCAGCGGTCTAATTCACACGACGTCTTTCAACGAACCTATCATTATGACGCTCCATCGTTACTGTCTGGCTGGTCAGAGGAATTTGACCTGGCATATGGAAGTGCCGAATTACGTCTGCATCATTCCGTAGTGCCTGCTTAAACGCGAGAAGCATAGACAACCGGTAGTACGCCAGTGCCCTTTACCGGCTTTGCGGTTTTTCCGGACAGGGGAAGTACGGTCCGCCATTGGGGACATTAGGGGGGCGCAAAAAGGTGCACACTGGGTGGGTCCGTACCTCAAGTAGGAAGGCCTCTGGGATTCAATTGCTATAGGGGGGGTGAATGCTTGAAAGCTTGGCGAGTGCGAAAAGGTCCCATTATACGTGATTGTTTATTCGTTTAAATGAGGTTTGCGTTTGCTGAGTCCTTCGGAAGCTAAAGACGCCACGGTTGTTTTTGTTCAGTTCAGTCTCTTTCCCCAGAAAGTCTGATAACACCAGATCACGAATAACTCCAAGTTTAAGGAACACTTCTTCGGGAGAATTTTGACAAACCAGGTGAATTTATCCAGCGTACTGTCATCATCATCATCATCATCATCATCATCATCATCATCATCATCATCATCATCATCATCATCATCATCATCATCATCATCATCATCATCATCATCATCATCATCATCATCATCATCATCATCATCATCATCATCATCATCATCATCATCATCATCATCATCACGTCGTTATGACTGACCTCCTGCCCATGGTCCATAAGCCGAGTTGCTCGACTGCACAACTGTTGTTCCTGCCTGGTCACTATTGTACGGAATGAGTTACTGAAAGAGACTAACTCTGGTCAGGAGAACTTTGCACGGACAATGGCAATGTAACAAGGTACACCCAGTAAAAGAATGTCACACGTCCTTCAAACCGTCAGTCATGGAGTAATCGTATATAAAGAATACTTGCATATTCAGCATGATATTTGGATAAACAAAAATCCGGAAACTCTCACTGTCAATACTCGGCATCTAAATACCAAATTCGGAAATTATAACTCGTCCATATCTTGAAATCGAGTCTGTTTAACAAAAAGACAATTTAATGATCCTAAAAACTGCCGCTTTGTGGACAATCTGGAATAAATGGCCTTGTCGGACATCGGTGAAATAAAGGTACACTTACGGATGTCTTAGGCTCGTATTTGCTTCGTCGGATGTCGCATAATTTAGATGTAGGGCAGGATTTTTCAAGGTTCCGACAGATTCAGTCCTGTTACTCTGATAACTGCATAGATCAACTATGTCGATGCAAAAATTCAACAGATCGCAAAATTTTCTCAAAGGTATACGTTGTCTTAAATTCACGAATAGAGGCGAATGTCTGAGTTCAAAACGTGTGTATGTATAGGTAAGGGACTAGTTGAGCACCGGAACCATTCATTTATCTTTCTGAGCTTTCGAACTCATACAGGAGTCCACCGTCAGAGATGACAACAGAAACAGAACAGGCGAAAGTTATAGGCGTTATTAGCCAGTTGACGACCAATGAGCAGTCTAGTGATGACTGCAAGGGTCTATGTACGGCGGCGGCAGATCAATGCATCGAATAACTGAGTTTTCATGTGAGGCCCAGACCTCAATCAATCCCCGGTTTGTCATATTTCTGATATGGATGGTTATCTTGGCGGCTGCGAAATTGAACTAATGACCCGGTCCGAAGATGTCGGCATCCACTTGTATGACAGTTCGAACGCCGTACCCGATGATGTCCACCGTGGGCTCCACAGCAAGGTAGAGCATGGACGGTGACTTGCGCGGCATTTTTCGCACACTCTTCTCCTCCCCACCTGAGTCCGATGTCAAAACATAGACAGGAAGACCGGGGACGAGAGAAAGCGCAGGTGCCTGGCACGGCAGGACTGGCACCTAAACGTACAACACACCTCTTGGTCCACAACATGCAATTAGCCAGTATTTTAATCAACGACAACAGCACCACAACGGTTCAGAAGGACGAAGATGACTGGGCAGTCATGTCAACTACCTGCATACCCAGCAGGAGCACAAGCACATCTACCGGCAGGGAACCAGGCGTCAGGGAACTGCCAGCGCACATCAGGCTGCGAGGGCCATGGTTAACTGATCTTGGCATAAAAGAGGCTTACGTAATTGAGTCCCAGAAGGATGACACGCAGACCTGCATTTAGCCTGGGCCATTACCATTAAAAGGCTGGCTGACCAGTTAGTAGTCGACTGAGAGACACTACCCATAATGCGCACACACACTCCTCACATGCGTAAGAGTGCCAGAGGTCACGTTAAGAAGGAGCCGTTTCAACCTGGTTCACGGCCCACCAATACGCCATTCCAAACAGACACACACAGTTGGGCTGAGTGCGTGGATTGAGTCTGCAGCCTTACAGGCCATGGCGCCTGATCCACCATGGTAGCCTCAAACTCGTATCACACATGCAGCAGAGGAGCCACATGGAGAAGGAGCCGAGAAGCACATTTCCCACTTGCGTGGGAGGATGGAATCGAATGCTTGCGATGGGTGGCGTTGTTGTATAGTGTAGATGATGACGGGGAGAGGTATGACGGTGTGGTGTAGCCGGCGATCGTCAACCGCAGGCTCTCGGAAATGCCCATTTGTCCTATCGGGCCTTTGCGGGTAGTGAATGTTCGAGGGCAGTCGAGGCGAATGCGGCGACTGTAGGTTGGTGCGCTAGGTACTGGTTGACTACTCTCTGGGCGATGGATTCGCAAGTGACCGATCAGGTCGATGTGTGAGGTGAGTGTACAATGATAGTATAGGCAGGATAGGTCAGAAGTGTCAGAGTCGGTTTTAGTGATGGTGACGTCGGTGGAGCTGCTGGTGGTGTGGGTTGAGCTTCTTGTACACTGTCCAGGTCTCCGCTCCATACAGCAGAGTCGGCAGAAGGACTGCTTTGTACATCTCCAGTTTGGTGCTGATGTGGAGACCGCGTCGATTTCAGCCGGTACTTTGCAGACGACCGAAGGCTTGGCCGGCCTAGGAAATCCGGCAGGCCACTTGATCGTCGATTATGGTGTTGCGAGATAGGGTGCTGCCCAGGTAAGTGAAGTTGTCCACATCTTGCAGTTAGGCACCGTTAACTTTGATGTGTGGTGCTACGTGGGCAGTCTTGGTTGGCGTTTGGTGCATATACGCCGTCTTCTCCGTGTTGGTGATTAGGCTGAAGTTGTCACTGGCGGTGACGAAAAGGTCCCTGTTCCTTTACCTGTCTCCTTCGTAGGTGGCGTTGAGAGCACAGTTGTCAACGAAGAGAAGTTCATGGACGGAGGTTGCGGATGCATTCGACTGGAAGTGCATCCGCCGCTGCTTTAGGAGTTTAGGAGGAGTTCCTCACTCATATCCCAGGTATGGATGACCCTATTATCGACAAGCGATCGCACCTCAAAAAAACTTACTCCAGCAGGACTGGTCGCATTTGTAAGACTCAGAAAGGGCTAAAAATGTGCACAGAAAGCGGAAACACCGTGCAAAATATGCCATCGGCAAGTCCTGTGAACTGGCCTGTCTTTATGCATGTGCGGCTTAATAATCATATCTCCGAACAGGTCCCTTTAGGAAGCATGGGCGGTTGGTAAAAATAGCGGTCTGGCCTTCACAGGATACCTCACATGTACAAGAATAAAATCAGGGGGTTATAATCGAAGAGTCCCTGTTTCACTTAAGTACGTTAAAATGTTCATTCCACTCCAGTCCTAGCCAGGGAACGATCATTAGTACTACTCGAGATGGTGGCTGGGACAGCAATGCGGACCCACAATGATTTTTACAAAAAAAATGAAATTAGGAACTATGGAGTCTGCATGTAATTTAATTTTGAATCAAAGTTGCACGGATTCATGCGACAACCACCTTTGTGCCTATAATACAGCTGTCGTTAGATCGATACTAATGTCTACATTTCTACCCCTTGCTGTACCTCTAGCAAAAGCTGTACCTCAGGAATTCTGTGGCAGTTAAATGCGTCTGCATCGTCGGTTGTTAAAGGCAGGTTGGACGACCTATTATCGGCAGCTGATAAAAGAGCAAGTTGTCGCTCAAATGCATCACTCTGACAGGCCCCTTCCTTCTGTTATCGCATCATTCCGCCGTTGCCCTTGGTTCAAGGAGACGCAAGTCTGCAGGAGGAGGGGGCAGCATTTGAGAAGGAGTCCCGCTACCCCTCCAGGCTTGAGCACACGCACTACCCCTCAAACACAGTCTCCGACCCTATAACTCCCTTAAGAGTTACCCTCATTTTCCTCCTTCCTCCTCCTCCTCCTCCTCCTCCTCCTCCTCCTCCTCCCCCTCCTCCTCCTCCACCCCTCCGCTCTCTCCTATCCCGCCTTCCCCTCATTTTGGTGCCGGCATCGAAACGCAGATCGAGTCAACCAGTTCCATCCCGACACCGGCCAATCTGTCCGCTATCTTGGTTTTTCCCTGTTCGCTCTTTCTGCACTGCACCCTTCGCCAGCCGTGAAAGGTGATGGGAGATAGGGTAGTGTAGATGCCTTGAGCCCACTAACTAATTGGCTTTTATCGGGACCAGGGAGAAAAGCTGGCTTCCAGTCTAGTTTGCAGAGAAAGTGACAAATAGCAAACATTTAAAAACGCAAGCGACATGCGCGCCAAGAGGTCTCATTTCCTAGAAAACAGTCAGTGGACTACTGAGGCTTTGGTTCGCAGTCAGTGTGGAAGATAACGAGGAACTGTAGGAGGCAGTAGCCCTAATGGCTCATTAAGTACATGCATGGCGGCTTCTCAAAACATGTGTTCAGTTCGCCCTATTAATTTTTAGCGGTTTTTTTTCCAGTCCTTGCGTCCTAACTGGTTGCATGCGCAGGACGCTACCGATCAACTTGACCGAGCGACCATTTTATGGCGCTCGCGTGAGTAACGTTCGAGTAGACTATAGCTCTGCTGGCGCATGTGTGCGCTGTCATCGCGGTGCTTCGCTCCGTCTGTCCGTGACAATAATTGCAGGTTTGAAAAGTTCTCAGCTTTGCTTGACTTTCGTGAATTAGCGGCGCACAATCAGGAACTCTGCAGGAAAGTCGGAAAGGACATTGAGTTGGTAATGAATAAAGGGCCGCGCTTTTTAAATCTGCCGTGGTGTGCAATCATCATATCTATCCGCCATCTGAGCGGTGTCGGTGCTGAAGGAGAGCCCGCCTGTACGGCCTGAGTTACAGCCTGTCACTTAGGCTTTGACATCCGCCAACTGGTGCACGTACATCTGCACCAACAGTCGTTCGTCTATTTTTGTTGGACGTAGTTCCCTTGCACCGGAGTCGGCAGACGGCGGCTGACTTCTCCTGGGTGCAGCAGGAACTTCTGGGGGATTACCATACCGATGGAATACTGGGTCAGGTTTGCGGGTGACTCCTCGTCTGTGTGAAACACGACTATGCCCTTCAGACCCCACAAAGACGGGTTACGGCTAGAGCGTAGCTAAAGCACGAAAATCTGTCCGCATTCTGTGGTTAGACTACTGACTCTCCGACAGGGATAGCTGGCCTCTCGAAAGATAATATAAAGCCCTATTAACGGCTTTGTTGAGGTTTCTCCAACCTTCTTTGCGAAATGTCCTTTCGTTTGTGTTATTCATACCTTCTGTGCAGTTTTTAAGTCACACTTTGAGTGAATTTGATAAAGACCTGGGTAGCAGGAAGGTGGTTGTACCAAGCCGAGTCAAAAAGAAGAACATGAATTCGAAACTAAAAAACAGATTCTGATACGAGGTTTCGGTGCATACGCGGGCGTTTTTGCCTTAGTTTTTCGATAGGAGGCGGAAAACATCCACGGACAATCCCCATATATGCACGCATTTCGAAATAACATCCCTTTGTGCACTATTTTTTTTCCTCTAAAGGGGGATAGACTGAAAGAAAGTGAGGTGGATCAGATAGTTGTAATGTGACATTCAGAGCGGCCAAAAGGGAGACCAAACGGGGGGGGGGCTTAATGAATGAAAAGTAGGATCCATGTTCACTTTCGGGTCTCCCGGGTCTGCACTTGCGGCACAATTGGTCGACGATGAAAACTAAGGTAGAAATATCCGTGCCATGCCCTCTTGACTTTGTTCAAAGTATCTCGATGGCTCTAAATCTTCTAGAAATTAGTGCAGATCAGACCTGAACTGATTTTTTTGTTGATAACGTACACTCGAACCAGCATTTCAGACATTCTGGAATGGGCCGAAGCAAACCTCTACGCCATAGGTTGGGCAGCTGGCTCGTGATACCGGCGTGGCGAAGAAATGGGAATCCCCATCCCCTTCCCCGTAAAACAGACCGTCCGGCGCTAAATTCCCGGGAGTGTACATATTTCCCTATCCTAGCCTTAGCTTCATCTCCAACCCTAACACTAGCCGTAACTCAAATCCTAATCCTAGTCTCCCCAGAATTCAGCGCAAGGCCGCCTCCACTACGGATGGTGGCGTTTATACTGCCCTGTCTTGCCAAAACGTCATCACACAATCAACCGCGACATCTGTTCGCATGCACCTCGAGAAAACTAAAATGGAACCAATGCAGTGAGTAAGGGGTATGCCGATAATAGGAAAGCGAGAGAGAGACTGAAAACCACTTCATCAAAATCAGAGGTTGGGCTTTAAATGATAGCCGGTAAATTCACCGTATATTCTGAATGTTAGTCGTTGCACGTTTAGAAAAGCTTGCCAGTTATGCATTACATAGACTCAGTAGACGTTCCTTCTTATCTTGTAAGTCTACGCTGCCAACTATTTCGAGGTGATGTTAAGGAGGAAGAAAGTCCATCAGAAAGTTGGTACTTTTACAGGGTAAGAAAAGCCTATCTTCATATAAACTGAGTATGAGAAGCATGGTGAGCACGCGGGGGTGAAGTGCAACTAGCCCACAACCGTTGATTTCGGACGCTGTGAATGCGAATGATACGGGAGACCTCTTCGCGTACAAACCGTACTAATGGAAAGACTATTGAGCGCTTGTTAGACCGTGTTCTTGTTTATGACGAGGAAGTAGCCGGTTGCGTAATGAAGTTGGACTTTGTGTTCAAGTCACCGAAAGGCTTGTTCTTCCAGCCGTCAGAAAACTAGTTCGACAGAGTGGATTGTTATCAAGGAGCCCACTAGCATTCCTGTAACCTCCCTACTCAGTTTTACTTTGCTCGCGAATGTCAGTTCAAAGGTCCCCTATTGATTCCAAGCGCTGTCGGGGCTGAGGTGGAAGCATTCGTTTATTTAATTATGATCGGAGTGAATAGAAACCTGGGCAACCAATGAAGGCACGTCTAATCTTGCTGCGGACGGAAATTCGTAGGCAAGCCGCAAGTGCCTCAAAGCACTCCCTGAAACGTCCAAACCTTACTGACTAACTTTGTAGCTGGTCTGGGGGCATATTGGGGGTGTCACATTAGTTCCTGACACAACTGCGTCCGGCTTACTGAGTCTAGATCGAACAGGGACTTACCCTCGTCTTTGCGATAAACAAGTTCCGTGTGAGGGTTGCGTGTGGAGCACTCGAGGTGTGACTACACACCACCCCAGCCCCGAAACCTTTACAGCTCCAACCTGCATGGAGGTTAATGCAGGAGAGAGCAGTAAGGACCCCGTCTCGCGGTGCGTAAGACGAATCATTTTGCCCTTTCACTCCACTCAAGACGTCGACATCTCCCCCCCTCGCCGTCATCGCACACCAGCCTGACGGCCCCGAAACACGCCGCCCTGTCGCCAGTCCCCGTTGTCCTAGCGCCAGTCTGACCAGATTCACTCTTGCGAGTGTGTGTGTATGCGGCTGTTCGGGGAGGTGGCAGCAGCTAATCGCACTTAGTGGAAGGGGAAGGGGGGGGCAAACGTAGCGGAGGTTGTAAAGGGGTTTCCTGTCTTAGCATGTCTCCACAAATACTATTAAAGGGGGCAGATGGGGTCTGATTGAACAGAAGTTCGAGATGGAGGAGGGCAAGAAAACGAAGTCAAGAGCATATAGCTCGTCGTGTCGGCTCGCGCATCGCAAGCTAAGTTGACTGAAAATCTGACCGTCTGCCCCACGGTGTGGGCGGAGCGGGTGGAGCCTTGGTGACATGTCTGAGTACGACTCTTCGTGTTGGCACATACATAAAGTCTATGGAGAAGATCAGGCAGAGAAGTAGGAAGGTTTTAAAAATTAACAACCACCCCTATTCACATCAATGCCAGCTTAACTCTGCCTTTAAACACGCACACATCAGGAAGGTACACGTCTTCGTGACGATGACAGAACGCGAGGAGTTGGGTTCGGAAAGGGGCAAACCAGACGGTTGACAGGGCTGTGGTGGAGCGGGGATTGACATCCGAAAAGTCGACCCCTACTGCGCCCAAACACCCACCCCTACACAAAGCTCTTGAGCCATCGTGAAGACTTGAGCTTAACCTTCAAGCGTTTGGGAGTGACGTTCAAAACTGTAAAAACTGCGAAGCAAAAAACTGCCCTTCAGTTGCAGTTAAGTGGGATAGTATGAGTCAAGTAGAGTCTGCGACTGCAGGATTATTACTGGTCAGTTACCGTGGGCCGATTGGAAAATGTCGTCTGGTAATTTGCCTTTCCCTCAACCTGTGCTGCATTGTAAAGCAGACAAACCGGCATAAATTTACGTGCCTTGTAGGCCCTAGACTGAGATAATATATTTTTCCTCGGGCACTTTAGGTCTCTTTAGGTTTCTTCATTTGGCTGTTTCAGAAAGACCAGTTACCCCTACCAATATTTTTTCGAGATAAAAATTCCACAAAATGATAGTACGTGCGCAGCAGTGGGTCAGCAAATGTGCCTGTGCATATTAGTCGGACCAGCTGTATAGTTTTTGCGAAGCGGTTTTCAATAAAAGAATTCATCTCCATCGAGATCGTCGATCGGAGAGACATAGGCTTAAGGGTCTTGTGCACAGAACTCAACTTCATTCTACTACGCAGGCATTAACAAAAGTGCTGAAAGAAATACTAACGAAGGCACTGGAGGCAAGACTGGTCGTTTCTGGCTTATTAGTCATGATTAGCCAGACATAACTAACTCCAGGTTTTCATTGCCTGGGGTATGAACCCAAAGTTCTGCTGCTGGCAAAATGAAACTTTTCACCGATGTAGGTAATGGTACAATCAAAACAATCAATTATGTCATTCAGAGTACCTGCAACTGACACTTCTGTATCCCAGAGTATTGCGCACTTCAAATCAGAATGCAAACTGCAGACTAAAGAGCCTAATAACTAGTCATTAAAATAAATTTAAAAATGCAAGCTTATTTATTAGCCACCGAACACACCAAACTAATAACGAATAACGCAAAAGAGTGTTCCTTAAAGGACAGTCAAGAGGAACGTGCGAGCATTCCTCGAAGGCACTCAGTTGCTTTTTATAAAGCCAGAAAGTTGGACATTGAATTTAATTTATGAATCAGTTCTGAGAAAATGCTATGTTTTCGTAATAAACGGATGCGAAAACAAAGCTGGGACAAACTGGCTAGTCCA